GAAAAGGTACACTAAGGAGTTTTTGTGTGTTATATTAGGGTGTTATACTAAAAGTTTTTTTAGAGTATTAGGTGTCGTTTGAGAAGTGAGTTGGCTTTTTGACTTTTGGTTTTTTTAGCTATTTTAGCCTGGGGCTAAAAAGCCTGATTTGGGAAGGGTTTTAAGGTTTTTTTTAACTTTTTTGACTTTTTTGTGAAAGAAAGAATGTAATGATTATAGGTTGAATGTGATGTTTTGTCTTATTAGACTAAATAGTCTGTTTTGTTTTTTGTGACTATTTTAGTCAAAAAAGCCTCAAAACTATCTTCCCAAACGGATTAGAAAAAGTACATCAAGAAATTTTTTTTATATGTTACATTAGAGTATTACATTAAAGAGTTTTTGTGTGTTACATTATTATGTTACATTAAAGAGTTTTTTTTTGTGTGTTATATTAGCTTGTTACATTAAGGAGTTTTTGTGTGTGTTATATTAGAGTGTTACGTTTGAAAAAAATACACTAATGATTTTTTTTGTGTGTTTCATTACAGTGTTACAATAAGAATTTTTGGTGTGTTATTTTGGAGTGTTACACTAAGTAGTTTTGTTGGAGTATTATATTGGAGTGTCACATTTGGAAAAAGTATAGTAAAGATTTTTTTTTTTTTTAATGTATTACATTAGTGTTACTTTTGGAATTTTGGATGTTAATTAATGTCAATGTTACAATAGGGACAAACATCACAAAAGGGAACGAACACTACACTAATAACACCACAAACGGGGTAACATCATCCACCTACAAATCACTCCACTAAATCCTCACCAAAAAAAAAAAAAAAAAAAAAAAAAAAAAAAAAAGAAACGTAAAAATCTAACTTATCCATGCATACCTAACATTAGGAAAAAAATCCAAACAAAATCACACATAAGGACAAACAAGTAAACTTTCAAACCCCCAAATCAAGGAAATAACATACCCAAAATAAAAATGACAAATTGGTTTGAAAGAAAACTTCTAGGACTAAATGGTGGGGGTGAGCAGCAGATATACTGATCCGTCCAAACTAACTAAACGGAACCGATCTGCCGCATTGTAGACGGATGCATAATGACGAGCGGACGGTCGTAGATTGATTTTTTTCAATCCGCCTAGTTTTGGACGGATGGCGGTTTTGAGATTCATTTAACCGCAACCGAACAACCATACCGCAAGCACCACTAATAATTTGTAAGACTTTGTATTTTCAATTTGTTTAGATATTCTATTTATATTTTCAATTGAAAAAGAGTTTAAATATTCTGTTGAAAAAGAGTTTTCAACTTGAATATATTTTTTGAATTGAAAAAAAATAAATATATTATTTATCTATATTTTTTTGTTTTTAAATCTAACTCTAAAAATAATAAATATTATATGCTGGTTGGTTTTTGTTTTCAAAAACAGATATAAATATAACAATATAGAGGCATACAATCTCTACTACTGTTCTGTTCATAGTTTTGGTGGTTTGAATTGTTTTTATATTTTAAGAACTACATATTGTAATACTCTATGTGAATGAGGCATGCTTTGATTGTAATATGTAGATGAGACATGCAGTGATTGTAATATTCTAAAATTTTAAACTTTCTTTCTTTGGAAGAGGCATGCAGTGATTGTAATACTTTTTTAAGTTATTGACTGTAATATTTATTTATTTTTATTTTTTTAAGAAAGTGCACAAGTTGAATTATGTTAAAAATTTATAAAATTTTAAACCGCCAAACCGATTTACATCCATCCGCTAATTCACTCAATTCACATCCGCCGGATTAACGGACGGATGTAAATTGATTTTTTCCAATCCGCCAATTTGACAGACGGATGGCGAATTGGAGGTTCCGTGACCACAATCAACTCGCACCCATCCTTACTGTTAATGTAAATTGTAATTTGTGTAAATTACCACACCACCAACTCCACCTACCATCTCCACTACCACCCACCACCTCCACTACCATCCACTACCACCACTCACCTACCTCACCTACTCCCAAATCCTCTCCTATATAATAGCTTGTAATATACAAAATATACACAACAATCTTGTAACATATCTATCAATAATATACATTAATTTATTTTACATAACAAACGAGTTAGCAATCTTTTTGTAATATACAGATAAATCAATCAATACACATCAATCAATAATACATGAATTCTATCATGGTATCAGAGCAAGGTTAAGAACCTGGTCATTCTGCTTCCCCGGCGGGCGGCAACCTCGCCTTGGCCGCCCGCCGGACCTTTACACATACCCTGACTCCGCTGTAACTTCATCTTCCTCTCCTCACTATTGAAGAACTCTGTTATTAGCCCTCTTCTTTCTTTCTCCGTCCTCCTCGGCGACTCCACCTCCATGGTCATCGGCCTTCCTCCTCTGTTGATCTGCACATCCTCAGTCGCCACCATCGCTCCAACATGATGATGCATGGCACCGACGACACACATCCAGATCCAAAATCTAGATCTATCGAATCTGTTCCTCTCTCTCCTTCGGTCCGTGAACCGCGATTCCCACAAGCACCGACCGGTCAACTTGCGACTCCGGTTGCCGTCGCCTCTGACGGTGTCAGTCTTTCGGTTCACAATCTCCGCCTCGCCTCCTCTCTTCATCGCTCAGTTATCGGCTATCACAAACCCTAATCTAGGGTTTTCTTCTCTCAGAAAGTCAAAAAAAAAAAAAAAAAAAAAAAAAATCCACGGGGACCATATCACTCCCACCGGCAGGTGTCTTCAAGTGTGATGCAGCTCAAATTGCGAGATACAGAGTTAGGGCCACACACACCACACCTCTAGACAACAAATTTATTTTAGTGTTTGGTTGGTGGACAATTTAATGAGTTTTTTTTTTCCTCTTCTTTCTTTCTCCGTCCTCCTCGGCGACTCCACCTCCATGGTCATCGGCCTTCCTCCTCTGTTGATCTGCACATCCTCAGTCGCCACCATCGCTCCAACATGATGATGCATGGCACCGACGACACACATCCAGATCCAAAATCTAGATCTATCGAATCTGTTCATCAACTCTTTCCTTATTTTTCACATCCTTTGGTCTCTCCTTTTGTATTAGCTCCCTAACAGGTCGATACGCTGCTGTGATGCACAAATTCTTACGATCGCTTCCACTATATCCTTCTGTCATGGCTGCACGCTCCTTGAAGTCTATATTTTCTACTTTTTCCTTTCCCAGAAGCGTCCTCAAGATCATTTCCCTGCTCTCCACAGATGGGAGACCAACCATTATTCTGCGCTCAAACCGCCTAATAATTGCAATGGCCTTTGCCAGCCATATCATCCATTCCCTTTTACCCACACACCCATCCTCCTTTTTATTTTTTAAACCAATCTTGCACACACACCCATCCTCTTTTTCTTTTTTTTTTTTAAACCCATCTTCACCTTTCTTTTCTTTATTATCAAGCTTCGTTAGTCTACACTTCTGATCCGCGTGGAAACAGGGATTGGATTGGAATTTGGAGTGGAGTTTCACAGCGTTGGAGTCACGCGGGATTGTGCACCTTGCACTATATTTCTTTTATTTTAATATATTACCAACACACTTGCACTATACTTCTTTTATTTTAATATATTACCAACACCCTTGCACTATACCACCTATTTTAATATATTTTAATATATTAACATCCACTATCCCACCCTGTGCACCTTCTCATTCTCATTCTTTTTATTATTATCACATGGGCGTGTTCCCCCTCTTTCAACAACAACAACATTGCTAATGTGAAGAAGTTCCAAAGTTTTGGTTCACTCTGACACGCTTTCCCAATTCAAAATCTCGTTATAACAGATGCATAGTTATTAAAGCCGATGTGATTCTTTCATGAGAAAGCAAAAATTTAGTTAAAATCAACCAAACTAAACCAAATAGAAACAGCTTAAGTGAAGAAGTTTCACATAAATCCGTACTAGTAATCACCTCTAGTGGTCTCTAAACAAGCTGCCATTTCCAAATTATACCACCTTATAAAAAGCTACAATGATCTAAGCGATGTTTAGTCCGTATTTTGAATGGCATAGTAAATTTGTTTTGGGCATTGCTGTATCCATTGGAGATCATGTGGCACAACATATCATGTTTGTTGTTAATGTAAATGTAAATCACCTACTACACTCCACCAAACCTACCTCCACCACTCACTCCTCACCTACCTCCACCACTCACTGCTCACCTACTCCAGAATCATCTCCTATATAATAGGAATTCTTGTACAAAATCAATACAACAATCTTGTAATTCAATACACATCAATCAATAATAATACATCAATTTATTTTACATGGATCAATCTTGTAATACATCAATCAATAATAATACATCAGTTATTTTAACCTGGTATCAGAGCAAGGTTAAGAACCTGGTCATTCTGCTTCCCCGGCGGGCGGCAGCCTCGCCTTGGCCGCCCGCCGGACCTTTACACATACCTGACTCCGCTGTAACTTCATCTTCCTCTCCTCACTATTGAAGAACTCTGTTATTAGCCCTCTTCTTTCTTTCTCCGTCCTCCTCGGCGACTCCACCTCCATGGTCATCGGCCTTCCTCCTCTGTTGATCTGCACATCCTCAGTCGCCACCATCGCTCCAACATGATGATGCATGGCACCGACGATACACATCCAGATCCAAATCTAGATCTATCGAATCTGTCATCTCCGAACATCGAGGAGAGAGAGAGAGAGAGAAAGAGAATCGTTCACTCGTGTTGTTGCCATCATGAAAGAGCTTTATCGACAAGACAATCATGAATCTATCTATTCCACTCTCAAATGGATATCCGTCATTGATCTGTAAGAGCTTCAATTTGAACTTTCAATTTATGATTATTTCATAGATTGAACTTGTATATATGTGTGTATATCTAATGCCTGATGGAATTGAAGAACTGTTCACTTGCTTAGTTCAATCAGTATTGTAAATTTGTTCTCCCCAAACAAAACTAAGAGAGAGACTAAGAGAGAGAGAGAGAGAGAGAGAAGTTAGCCAAATGGATGGTTTAAGCAAACCAATCATTGAACATTGGAAGAAGCTCTGGGAAATATGGGATGTCCGGGTAGTCATCCTTGTTAGCCTCTTCTTGCAAATCTTACTAATCTTCTCTGCGCCTTTGAGAAAGCGAATGTCAAGTGCTTTTGTAACCATGCCCTTGTGGTTGGCAGACTTGCTTGCAGACATTACTGCTAACTTTGCAGTGGGACTCATCTCCAAAAGCCAATGGAGCGCCTCTGGCTCTGAGACTTCTCCAGATCTTCTGGCATTTTGGGCACCCTTTCTCTTGGTTCACCTTGGAGGTCCCGACACCATAACCGCTTTTGCCCTCGAGGATAATGAACTGTGGCTCAGGCACTTTCTTGGCCTGGGATTCCAGTGTTGGGCTGTTATCTATGCATTCGTTCAATCATATCCCTTTAAAGAGCTTTGGCGCCCCACCATGCTCATGTTTTTTGCAGGCCTCATCAAGTACACTGAGCGCACTCGGTCTCTCTATCTCGCTAGCACGCGTAGATTCAGAAACTCTCTGCTCACAGCACCTGATCCTGGGCCTAACTATGCCAAGCTCATGGATGAATACACTTCAAAGATCAAAGCAAAACTTCCCACGAGGATAGAAATGCTTCCAGAGCCTAATCGGGTAATCAAAACTGAAAGTGCTGGAGACAGAGACGACTTGTCCGATTTGGAGGTGGTGCGACGTGCTTGTGGATTTTTTGTAACTTTCAAGGGGCTGATTGCCGATCTGATCTTCAGCTTCCGTGAACGCAGCCTGAGCCGAGACTTCTTCCTCAAGAGAACGGCAAGAGACGCCTTCAGAGTCGTGGAGGTAGAACTTAGTTTCATCTATGAAATCCTCTAGACAAAGGTGGTGGTGGTGCAAAGTTTCTGGGGATACTTTTTTCGGTTTGCTTCATTTACGTTAACTTGTGCAGCCCTTTTGCTCTTCTGTTTTATGAGCAAGAAGGAATTTCATAATTTTGATATTGGAGTTTGGAGGTAGAACTTAATTTCATCTATGATATCCTCTACACAAAGGTGGCGGTGGTGCAAAGTTTCTGGGGATACTTTTTTCGGTTTGCTTCATTTACGTTAACTTGTGCAGCCCTTTTGCTCTTCTGTTTTATGAGAAACAAGGAATTTCATAATTTTGATATTGGAGTTACCTACACCTTGCTAATCGGTGCCATTGCCCTTGATGCAATAGCTTTCGCGATGGTCCTTTCCTCTGACTGGACTGCTGTGACCCTCACCGAGCCTGACTATCCACGCTGTTTCTTTAGGTACCTTATATCGATACTAAGGGTTAAAAGAAATAGATGGCCAGAAAAGCAATGGAAGTTTATGCAAATGTTGCGCCGCAGGTGGTCTGAATCGATTTCTCAATACAACCTGATACAATATTGTCTAAACCCACGTATGAAATGGTGGGAAAAATTTATAGGCTGGTTTGGCCTTACCAACATGCTGGATGGGCTGAAATATGTGGAAACTGTCAGCTTCACCAATGAATTAAGAGACCATATCTTTGAGGAGTTGAAGACGAAATCTGAGATGGCGGATGATTTAGAAACTGCCAAGGAGATATATTCAGCCAGAGGTGATTGGGTTCTTCGGTTTGAAAGTTGCAATGACTTGCTCCCTTGGATCAATGAGGTTGATTTTGATGAGAGCCTTGTGTTGTGGCACATTGCCACTGAACTTTGCTTGAATGCTGAGGACTCAGGCAATGCTGCTAATGCTGAGGGTGTCAATGTTAAGAAGTCGGGCAATGCTGCTGAAAACAATGCTGAGAACTCAGGCAATGCTGCTAATGTTGAGGGTGTCAATGCTAAGAACTCAGAAAATGCTGCTCAAAACAATGCTAAGGACTCAGGCATTGCGTCCAATGCTAAGGGTATCAATGCAAAGAAGCCAGAAAGTGCTGCTAAAAAGAAGGATTACCGTGAATTGTCTAAGCTCCTGTCTAATTACATGTTATACCTTCTAATCATGCAGGCGACAATGATGTCCACTGTGGCAGGTATTGGGCAAATAAGATTCCGAGACACCTGTGCTGAGGCCAAGAAATTCTTTCGTGGAAGAAAAATAAAGAAGGACAAGAAGAAATTCTGTCTCTACAAGTGCTTCTGTGGCAGTGAATCAGAACACAAGCAGCAAAATCAAACTAGCCCAAAGGCCCCCACTGCCCAAGAGCAACAAGGAGAGGAAACGACATGCTCATGCTTGAATATCTTTTGCTGCTTTAAGATATGCTGTTGCAAAGGGGATTCAGTACCAGATAAAGTACAGAAACATGCCTGCAATAGTATCCTTGGTGTTAATACAGCAGTAAAACCAGTTGCTGTTAAAGGAGATAGAAGCAAATCTGTGTTGTTTGATGCATCCATGTTGGCCCAAGAGCTGAATAAATTAGGAGAGGAAAAAAAATGGGAGATAATGAGCAAAGTTTGGGTCGAATTGCTGTCCTATGCAGCGTGTCATTGCAGAGCCATTACCCATGCCTCACAACTCAGCAAAGGTGGGCAGCTCATCACTTTTGTTTGGCTGTTGATGGCTCATTTTGGGTTAGGGAGTCAATTTCAAATAAGTGAAGGGCATGCAAGGGCAAAGCTGATTGTGGGGAAGTAACTGAATTTGATTTCTTGTATGTCAATCGAAGATTGTGTGCTTGTTTGTTGTAGTCCTCTTTGGAAAATATGGTTTTCAGTGATGTAAGGAACATATTTTGCAGTTTGAATGTGTAATTTATTTTGGCCTCTTATTAAGGGTTTATCGTGATTTTACTCATTCGGTACCTAAATCTTCTTTCTTACCCGTGTAGTAAATAGAGTAATTGCAGGTAATATGCATTCCCCTTCATCCCTTACCCCGCTTGCTAATTGTTAAGTTTTTATTCTTGGCAATCCCGTTTGACAAAACTCTTTTTAGTAGTAATTTTATTCGTTCTTTTATTTGAGTGAGGCTATGAGTTTTAGATGCGAATCCAACCCGAATTGTGTCTTGCAAAGAAGTTTGTAATGTCTATTCTTTCATCTCTATGAGACACTCTCCCCTGCAACTCATAACAATAAGGGCGAATATGACCATATATACCACAATGATGACAAATAAAAACAGGATGTACCTTCTTTTCTTTGACCTTACCAACTCTAGGAAGATTGAGAAGTCTTCCTCTCGTTGAATCTTTTGCTCCCCCTGCCCTTGAGTTCTAGTATCATAAGATGTTCATGCACTAATATATATAAACTAATTTATATTCTTTTCCGTAATATGAGCGTAACTGACATGTGGATAATCGATGTTTCAGTTTCTTGAATCTATTGGCATTCTCTAAGATCATGAAGAAGTATGACAAGGTTTCACAATTTTGTTTTCATGATAATTGAACTGAACTGTAAAGTTATTAAATTTTGTTGCTTTTTCTTTTCTTATTATTAACTAATTCACAGATCACTTCAAGGAATGCATCAAAAGTTTTATTAGAGATGATAGACAAATCTTATATCGGCAGCTCTGATGAGGTTTGATGCACTTCACAAGTTTCTGTCTAATCTCAGTAGGATTAAATCTCTACTTTCTGGTCCATAGAAATGGTAGAGGTCAAATGGAAATTGCAGAAAAAGGAATCAATACTTTGGTTGAGTCTTAAAATCTGATTTCTAAAAAAAAATTCAAAACTAGTTTGGTATAAGAAGAAAGGGAAAAAAGAAAAAAAAAAGAAAAAAAAAAAACTCAAATTCAAGTGGTTTCTCTTTTTGGGACGGAAATAATCTTTGAAAATTGAAAATATCGAACAGAGTATTTCTTGGGTAAGACTTTTGTTGCAAGAAGATATTGGACATTTTTATCTCAAATACTCAGCAGCAAATGCTGCACAAATTTCTGGTATTGTTGTTGTATTAAACAAGTCATGAACATGACTGATATTGGCACACATAACTTAGGGGCCATTCTATGTACATTGTCAAAATACTTATTAAATAGAGGGCTAATAGAAGAATTTTGGAAAAAACTTAGGTAGCCATGGCCTCTAGGTTCATACATAGCTCTGTCCTTGGTTGTCTGCACACTCACTTCGAAAGAGAAGGAAATTTTCATTGGCTATATATTTCGGCCTCACCAACATTCTATATTGTCACGCCCCAAGCTCCGTGACAATGCCGCACACTCATTTAAGTGAGCATGCAAGGCTAAGAGTCCAACACATAACCAACAATGTAAAATACTCAAAATAAATCCTTAAATATCATAATGCTAAAAACCATACAAGTAGATAATTCTTATCATATGAAATTATCCACCAAATCCACTAATAAAAAAAACAATAATAATAATCCAAGTACTTAAATCATAGTTCGACTATCGGCACTCCCACAAGTAAAAACCCCGCGCAGCTCTACTCGTCAGAATCTGAAAAATAAAATAAGGGTAAATTAGACAGCCCAGTAAATAACCAACCATCACCGTTAGCTGGATCAAGTATAAAAAAAAATAGGCGATAACCAATAAATATATTTTTTGCTACCATTCAATAAATAAACAATTATTTTGTAAGATGGTTTTGTAGCTGAAAATAAACAGTGTAGCAATACATTTTAATTGAAAAGACAATGAGATAATTCGATGAAATTTCGTTGTTCAAAATTGATGGTTTGATATTCAAATGGTTCAATGATGCAATTCACAAAACCTAAGTCTTGGTGACTACGGTCACTTAGCCCATGACAAGGCCCAGAACCACACATAGGCCGATGGTAAAGCCCCAAAAGAAACTAGTTTCTGTGCTAATAAATAACCCCCATTGGCTAGGGTCCAAATCATAGTCAGACTGGAGTGATGTTCCGCATTCAAACAATACATAACTTTTAAAAAAAATATTCGATATTTTCAAAATAAACATTTGGTACAATTTTCAGAATAGTTTCACCAAATATTCAAATAATTTTCGTAATAATATTTGATGTTGTTTCATACGTGACTCATATTTTATTTTAAGAGAACTTGAAGGCTATAAATAAATATTTATGATTTTAAACGATTCGATAGGAATAAAAATGAATCAACAATGATAAAGGGTTACTTACCTCAAACGCTTAGAAATAACACTCCAACACCAATTCCAAACACCTAGCTCCACCACTTCAATCACACAAACCTAATAAATAAAATCTCAAATAAATTAATATTTTTTACATGTTACATACACCCACAAAAGCCCCACTATATTAGATTAATGTATTGCTTTAATATCCAAGAGATCAAACCATTCAATCCAACTTTATAGCCAAACACACCCTTACCCAGATACAAAACTCCATTGTTTCTATTACCCACCCAAAGTTACACTTACACATTGCATCCAATTCTCAAAACCTAAGTAGGCACCTATAGATCTTCCAAATCCCCTTGATGCATTGATTGTTAAATTCCTCAACATAAACTTAATAATTAACAGTAAAAATAGATTTTACCTTAACCAGTGGGTATCCCAAAATCACCAATGTGCTGCCTCCAATTCCTATTGCAGCCTCACTTGAACCTCTCTTCTCTTTTTTTTTCTTTTTTTTTCTTTTTTCTTTTACCTTCTCAAACCCTAGCCGCCTATGGAGTAATTCACAGCCTCTGTTTTGTTTGTTTTCCAAGACTTAAAGCCACAATAGGTGGGTTTATTAACCTAATTTCTCAAAGTTACAAAATTACCGATCTAAGTAATAGGAAATATAATGCCATCTCATAACTAATTCTTTGATATTAATAAATGACCCATATAAATTAATTTAATTACTAATCTATTCAATAAAATAATCATACACACAACTTGGGTTTTACATATATGAAATTAAGTACGTCAAAACTGGGTGATTCACGAAGGAGTTAAGAAACTTCATTTTAAAGGTTGTGGTACCTTACTTCCTTTTTTTGAGGCTGATCACGATGAATCTTATAATGTCGTAGCACATTGCCATTGAGCTTTGCTATAATACTGATAGAGTCAATCCTAAGAACAGTTAATTTCATAGAATTTTATAAGCTCTTGTCAAATTACATGCTATATCTTCTAGTTATGCAGCCTACAATGATGTCTGCAGGGGCAAAGTATTAGCCAAATAAGATTCAGAGATACTTGTGCCGAGGCCTAGAAATTCTTATGCGGGAATGAAAATATTGTTCAGGGATGGGGCAGGAAGAGAAGCAATCTTGTCTCAATATTGACAAATGCTTCCGCTGCAGGGAATCAGAACAGGGACAGAAACGAGCCACCCCCAAATGTGCCAGCTGATTGGGAATTCTCTAGCCAAGGATAATCAGACCAGAAGTCATCACTCTGGTTTGGTTGCAAAAGGTTCATTTTGGCTTGGGAAGTAGTTCGGTTGGTCAGTCTCAACTATAAGTTGAGTAGCCTTAGCTTTAGCACAAGAAGAAGCAGAGGTTCACAAAGAAGGGTCGGATTGAACACTTGGTGACAGTCTTACAGAAGAAGACATTATCTGTTTTGAAGGTTGAGATGGAACTGATTGAACAAGTTCATGGAGTCTATGAAGAGGAGAAAGACAGAACTGTTAAAAGGATTGTGATCATCAAATGAAGAAAATTGGGGCAATTGTTGAGATTGAGACATGGCTGGCAAAAGGGTCAAGAATGGCTGACCTGGAAATGAAGAAAAAGGACAGTTTCAAATAGGTGAAGACCATGCAAGGGCAAAACTAATTGCAGGGAAGTAGCTGAGTCACTTTGCCAGTGACAGAGAGATATGGACTTGACTCACTGGTTCCAAGGGCAAAACTAGTCGTAGTAAAAGTGCACCAGGTTCCAATCCCCTTGGGGCTCAGCGGTTCAAAATTTGGACTTTGGCATCCCACCCCTCATTCGTGAAGTATTTCAGTTCAGACCTTGAACTTGTAATGCATGCACTGTGTGATTCAGGATGAAACAGAAATTTAAGCTGCCATAACTCTGATTTTAAATTTTCAACCACAGAGGGGGAACAATCACAAAGGAGGAAACAATATCAGGATGAACTCAGATACTACTGTTACTAGAACACACAGAAATTAGAATACTTGGATACAAGCTCAGGGGAGAGATGTTTTGCCTTTCGACCCTGCAAAAAGTTCATAACTTGCAGTGAATCGATACCCTTTTACCTAACTGGCATATGGCTCGTCCCCGCTTGTCATTATATTTGAAGGGGTAATTTGAAACATGTAGCTTTCTTATCAGGGTCATGTCTGTGATGTTCATTTTTTTGCATTTTTATGCTTAACAGTGGCTTTAGATTGTTAGATTAGAAATGAAGAACTAGAATTGTAATGATAGCACTCCATTAACTTCCTGTTTTGCAGAAAATTGTAAAACAATCTAAACTGTTTTACAGAAAATTAAAGCAGCATTCAAAACCATATGTGAACTAAACTCTGATTTATGTCGACTAAACAATACACATGCAAAATAAAATAATAATAATTAAATATTTAAATGAGAAATCAGAAAACATAAGCAGTTCTTATTTGGACCATGTTGAGAAAGGATTTAGATTTTTGTTTGGATAAAAAGCAATCTATTATAGAAAGTTATCGAATAGGAAAGTGCACACTTTCTTAGAAAGGGATATTTTTTCTTTTTGTCAACATTCTAAAGTTACAGATGTCAGTTTGTTAGTAAAGTTAGTGTACAAAAAGAAGTGTACCATTTAAAGGGGCCACTACTTGTAACAACCCCAAAATGTGTATAAGAAGTCATCCTTGTTTAAGTATGGGATAA